AACCAGGTCAGAAGCATACTACCATGAGGAAGGTGAATGCTCCAGTGGTGAGTAGAGCTCTACTGCAGCCTTATGTGGTGCTGAATCCTTGATGGCGAGACAACCTGCAGGTATTGATCATTAGCAGTCATCTTGGATCCAGGAGCTGCAGAAGGTCATACTCTCTCAGTACCCAAGAATCGCCTCTTGGCGACCTGTGCCTTTTCTTAGGGTGAGCCCTGAAAAAGGCCGAGATGAGGCTGGGATTGAGAATAAAAGAGCATGGGATCCAGGATCTCTCCTCTGGGCCATATCCCTCCCAGTCCACCAGGTACTGGAAACCTCGGCCCCGGCGTCTTACGTCCAAGATGCGGCGAACGGAGAACGCCGAATAGTTGTCGATGAGACGGGCGGGTGGAGGGAGGTCAGTCGGCGAGCACAGAGGAGTCTCGGAAACTGGTTTTACTTGGGAGACGTGGATTGTGGGGTGGATCTTCATGGCTGAAGGTAATTGGAACTGGACTGCAGAGGGATTGACGATGCAGACTATGGGGAAAGGTCTGATGAATCGAGGAGCCATCTTCCTGCAGGTGTCTTTCAGGCAGATGTCCCTGTTAGACAGCCAAACCCGCTGCCCCACTTGGTACGCCAGTGCGGTGGAACAGTGGCGATCGGTGAAGCATTTATTCTGGGTGACAGATCTGAGAAGGGCAGCCTTGGTTTACCGCCAGACCCTTTGGCAGCGTCAAAATAGTGTTGGACGGATGGAACAGCAATATCAGTCTCTTGGCTGGGAAACAGAGGAGGAGCATAACCCAAGGAAGCTTTGAATGGGGACATACCTGTCGCCGTTGAGTTAAATGGTAAATGGACTGTACTTATATAGCACCTTTCTATCTTATTTCAAGATACTCAAAGCGCTTTACACTACAATCTGTGCCTCATTTACCCATTCATACAGCACTCTACTAGATCTCTACAAAGCTAATTGAACAAATCATTCTAAAGAGACTAATCAGTGCTTTAGATCACATTCATACACTGATGGGACACACATCAGAGGCTATGAGGGGTTCAGTGTCTTGCCCAGGGACACTTCAGCATGTGAATGCTGGTGGATTCGAACCCCCAACTCTCGCATTGGAGGACGACTGCTCTAACCACTCAGCCACAGCCGCCCCGTCCCAGCTGTCCCAGGTGTGAGAATTATGAGCATATTCCACCCAGGCCAGTCCATGCAAAGGGATTACTCTCGACCATGCATCTGAGGGTGGTCTCCAGTTCCTGATTACAGCGTTCAATTTGTCCATTCAACTGTGGGTGATAACCAGAAGTTAGGCTTACAGAGGCTCCTAGAGCCTTACAAAAATTCGGCCAGACCTGGGAAATGAATTGTGGTCCCCGGTCAGAGACGATATCGGAAGGGCTGCCGTGAATCCTGAATATATTCTGGACCATAAGTTGAGCAGTTTCAAAAGTGGATAGGCTTGGGCAAGGGAATAAAATGTACAGCCTTGGAGAACCTATCAATGATGGTGAGGATGACAGTGTTACCTTCAGATGGAGGAAGGCCAGTGATAAAATCTGGGGAGATGTGGGACCATGGTCTGTTGGGGGTTGGTAGAGGCTGCAGAAGTCCTGCTGGAGGTTGGTTGCCCGGTTTGTTCCTATCACAAGTGGAACATGCTGCTATGAAGACTTTGACATCCTTTGTCATGGATGGCTACCAAAAGTGTTTTCTTGCTGATGACAGCGGGAGTCACCAGGGTGACAAGAAAGCTTGTTATTGTGTATCCAAGTTAATACCTGGGATCGGACGGTAGAAGGTACAAAAAGGGTTCCCACGGGGCCTGTGCCAGTATCAGGTTCCAGACTCTGCGCCTCACGGATCTCCTTCTCGATGGTCCACGTGAGAGCGCCCACCACAAATGAGGGAGGAATGATGCTTTGAGCATCATCAGCCGCATCTGGGGGAGAGAACTGACGAGACAGGGCTTCAGGTTTGACGTTCTTAGAACCCGGACAGAAAGTCAGAACATAATTGAAACGGGTAAAAAATAGGGACCATCTTGCTTACCTGGGGTTCAAATGTTTGGCGTCTCTGAGGTACGTCAATTTCTTGTGGTCAGTCCATATAAGAACAGGTGTGTCCGTGCCTTCTAGCCAATGTCTCCATTCTTCTATCGCTAGCTTGACTGCGAGTAATTCCCTCTTACCCATGTCATATTTTTTCTCAGCAGGAGAAAGGCGCTTCGAGAAGAATGCGCTGGGGTGAATCTTATTGTCAGAGGCAGCCCTCTGAGACAACACTGCCCCCATCCCCGTGTCTGAGGCATCTATCTCAATATAAACTGTTTCTTGGAGTCAGGGTGACAAAGAATAGGCGTGGAGGAAAATAAAGTCTTTAGATCACAGAACACCTTGTCCGTCTCTGGAGTCCATTTAAACATTAACAGCTTGGAGGTCAGCTGTGTGAGAGGGGCAGCGATCCTTCTGTAGTCTTTTATGGATCGTCTGTAAAATTTAGCAAATTCCAAGAATCGTTGTAGCTGCTTCCTCCTCTCAGGGATAGGCCACTCCACCACTGACTTAGTTTTCTCCGGGTTGGTGCTGTGTTGCCCTCCTTCAAATATAAACCCCAAGAAAGAAACGGTTGAGACATGAAATTCACACTTCTCCGGTTTGACAAAAATTTGATTTTCATATAATCTCTGTAGGACGAGTCTGACCTGCTGAATGTGTTTTTCCATACTCTGGGAAAAAAATCAAAATGTCGTCTAGGTAAATGATGAAAATGAAATCATTTATAAAATCTCTTAGTACGTCATTTACCAAGGCTTGGAAAACAACAGGAGCATTTGTTAATCCAAATGGCATCACCAGATACTCAAAATGACCCTGGCGTGTCCGAAAAGCAGTTTTCCATTCCTCACCTTCTTTAATCCTTACAAGATGATAAGCATTACGCAAATTAAATGTTGTGAAAATGGAGGCGGTGTGAAGCTGCTCGTGTATAGAGTCGATCAGGGGAAGTGGGTACTTGTTTTTAATGGTTTTGGCGTTAAGTCCCCTGTAATCGATACAAGGCCTTAAAGTCTTGTCCTTTTTGGAGACGAAGAAGAATCCTGCCCCTACCGGAGATATGGAAGGACGGATTATGCTAGAATCAAGTGACTCATCAATATACTTTTTTATGACACCTCTCTCTGGCCCAGACAGATTATATAGATGACTAGATGGTAGTGTCGCCTCTGGGAGGAGGTCGATACCACAATCATATGGCTGATGAGGAGGTAATGACAAAGTTCTCTGTTTACTAAACGCAGGCGCCAAATCACGATACTCAGGGGGATGTCTTCAATATTTACATCCTCTTGAGGAGCGCAGGTCTTTGCTTGACTAGGAATGGCTGTCCAGAGACAGTTTTGGATGTAGGAATTACTCCATCCCTCAATTCTCTGTCACCCCCAGTCAATCTTAGGATTGTGTTTCTGGAGCCAAGGGAACCCGAGGATTAATTGGGTCTTAGGGGAGTCGAATATAAAAAATTCACTGACCTCGTGGTGGTTTTCAGAAGAGATCAGGTGAATATCCACAGTTTTATGTTGGATCTGGGTGAGCTTGAGTCCAGTAATACCTGTGACAGCCAGAAGGTGTTGCAAGACCTGAGTGGGAATAGAAAGTTTCTCAATGAGGTCACTGCTTATTAAGTTATTTTCGGCACCCGAGTCAATTAAGGCAGTGATAGGCAGGCGATCTTGGTTTACTTGAATGACTGTAGACAGTGTTAAGCAGGAGGTGGATGAAAGGGAGATGTTCCCACCAGTATTCTCCTTGTTACTGGTGGGAGTTCTCGTTTCCCCGCAGCGGACTATGAGCAATGAAATGACCTTGTCTACCACAATAAATGCAAACGTTTGTACTTACCCGTCTTTGCCTCTTCTCTATAGAGAGGCAGGCTCTGGATCTGTCTCATTAGCAGGTGAGGGAGCCATGGTTGTACGTTGAGGTTCTGCGGAAAAAGACTTTTGGGTGACGTAGTTTTCGTACTTGAGTTTGGAAACGGCGCGGTTCGCCATATTGGTGGAAAACCCGGAAGAGGAAGACGTCTGGGACTTGTAGTCTCTCTCACGCTGTTGTTCCCGGAATCGTTCATCCTGACGAATAGCAATCAAAATTAGCTCGTCGAGATCCTTGGGTTCATCACGTAGGGCCAATTGATCTTTAATCTCGTCTGATAAGGAATTTAAAAAGGTGCCAAATAGTGCAGTCTCCCCCCAGCCGGTTCAAGCGGCGATGGCCCGGAACTCAAATGTGTGTCTAAACACAGCTTGTCATCCTTGACGTAACCCCAGCAAAGGCTTTATGGCTTCAGACTGCTGCAGGGGGTGATTAAACACTTTAGTAAATTTATTTAGGAATTTGTCAAAACTTAAAGAGTTGGGGTCATGTACTGACATAAAGACTCTGCCCAGCTGAAGATCTCATCTTTAAGTTGACCGATTATGTAAATGATTTTTGAATCATCAGAAGCGGATAGTCTGGGAGCCTTACGAAAAGCGAGTCTGCATTGAAGTAAAAAAAAACAAAACAAAAAAACAGAAATTTTCAGGGTTACATTAGAAGAATGCAGAGGGTTTGAAGTTTATTTCATTCAGGTCTGCTGATGTCACTTTCGTAAAGGAAATGCTGAGGCTTGAGTTGGCCTGAGTAAGAGAGTTAGCACGGAAGGCCGACGAAAACCTCTGGTTTAATGAAATCAACATACCTCCAAAATTCAGTCATGTTAGCATGGTTAGTTTCCTGCTGTGAGAGGATCTTCTCCAGTTGTAACTCAAGATCATCGATGCACTTTATCTGGGAGGGGAGATAAGCTTGTTCGCCCCCGGTCTTGCTCTGGGTATGTTACTTTGGCTGGAGCATTTCTGTCATAAGCTTGGGAGACCCAGAGAGTGCGAGACGAAGCAAAACTCCACAAGGAAAAGTTAAACAGTGTTTATTATTTACAGTGAAACAAAACAATGACTTGTTTCTCAACAGGAACCCTGGAAGGTAAGGAGAGGTGTCAGATAGGTAATCTCAGAGATGGAGGATTTGGTTTTGATTCCAGTTGTTTGAATCGTACAGGTTTGGTTGGTGAGGAGGGTTTGCTGGTCCGATGGTCAAAGGAGTGGAACACAGGCAAGTGGTTGGAGGGTGAGAAGAGCCAGGAGGAGATGAGGTCCAAGCAACCAGACACAGAAGAGCACGAGGAAATCGGGTACTGCAGCACGAAAAGAGAACAGGAGTTAAGACAAGCTTTATCTCATCAAAACCAGGCCAGAAGCATACTACCATGAGGAAGGTGAATGCTCCAGTGGTGAGTAGAGCTCCACTGCAGCCTTATGTGGTGCTGGATCCTTGATGGCGAGATGACCTGCAGGTGTTGATCATTAGCAGTCATCTTGGATCCAGGAGCTGCAGAAGGTCATACTCTCACACCTTAAAGTGCTGTAGTACATAACCATTCATTAAAGACAAATTAAATAGATCCAAAATATGGACTTTAACAAGATAAATTAAATAGATCCAAAATGTGGACATTAATTAGGGGGAATACCTCTTTAAACAGTCTGGTTGGGATGGGATTAGCAGACATGTGGATGGTTTGGATGAGGTTATTATTTTTGACAATTCAGAGCGCAACAGGACAAAAACTGTCCAAACACAAATCAGGCTCTAGTGAAATTTTTAAAGTTGTCTCATTTGACAGGACTAGAGATAGTAGAAGGAAGGATGGTTTGAATTTTCTCTCTAATTGAAATAATTTTATTTATAAAGAATCTCATGAAGTCATCACTGCTTATAGTTGTAGGGATACATGGTTCAACAGAAATGGGACTTTTAATTAGGCTAGCAATAGTACTAAACAGAAACCTAGTGTTATTTTTATTCTCATCTATTAAAGATGAGTAATATAAAGTTCTAGCTTTATGGAGAGCTTTTTTATATGTTAGCAAACTATTTTTCTAAGTTAAGTAAATTTCTTCAACAGGTGTTCCCCTACAGTAGAGCGCCATTTTCTCTCCTGGTTTGTAAATGCCTGCTTTAAAGTACGTAAGTCAGGATTGAAACAAGGAGCCAGTTTCCTCTGATTGATTACTTTCTTTTTCAGCAGAGTAATTTTATCAAGTAATGTTTGCATTGAAGTTGTAAAATTATCAACTAGATCAGTGGTCCCCAACCTTTATTGCGCCACAGACCATTTTGATGTCCTCCCCAACAGAATTTTTAATAAAGTAGATCCCATTTCCTACATTCTGATGTGTTTTACAAACATTTAAAACATTTTTCACTTCAAATACTCTGATTCATGAGCTGAGATCGTCTGTTTTATCAGTTTGGTAAAAGTCCAGATAACTACTGCAGTGATTCACACATCAGATTGTTTACAAAAGCACAAGATTTTATGCCTAGTGCAAAACGTTTAATTATATTTTGTGTTTTATAATAAAATTACCCATGACTCTGAACTCTTAGAGGCAGAGATTTTTTTGAGCAGAAGCAAAAATGTGAAGTGACAGCTCTGATGTGATATTAGGAAGCTTGTTAAAAATTAGTTTTATTTAGTTATAGTTTTATTGTCAATCTTTGTCAGGGGGGTTGAAAAATATGCAGTGTAATCCTTCAAAATGCACTGATATGGCTGCGCACCTCCACCTGTCTGCTTCAGACTACGTAGCTGAACTGCTTTGTTCTTCACCAGCAATGTAGAACTGATCTGCACATGTGCCTAGCAGAAACTGAAACTAACCACTTGTGTATGTTGACCTGCGTCAAGAGTGAGTCATAGACTGATGTGATACAATCTGGTGATTTTTCAAAATAAAACTTTTCCACTTCTGTGCTGCCCAGTACCCATTGACCCACGGACCGGTACCGGTCCGCGGCTCGGGGGTTGAGGACCACTGAACTAGATGATCTAAGTCACTGTTCTCTGATGCATTACTCTGCAAGACAGAGGAAAACATTGATGGAAGAGACTGTTTAAATTTGGTTACAGCATTTTCTGATAAGCACCTGCTGAGATGAAATTTACTCTCAGTGACTGTGTAGTCATTTAATGTAAACTCAAAGGTTATTAAAAAATGGTCGGACAGAGTAGGATTTTGAGGAACTATTACCAAGTCCTTAATCTCTATACCATAGGTCAGAACTAAATCAAGAGTGTGATGATAAGAATGAGTAGATGTGCGGACATTTTGGATGAAACCAAATTACTCTATTAAATTATTAAAGGCTATGCTTAAGCTATCACTCTCAACATCTACATGAATATTGAAATCACCCATTATGATGATTTTATCAGTATTAGTAGTAAGTCAGTTAATAATTCTGAGAATTCAGACAAAAACTGAGAGTAAGCGCCTGGTGGACGATATATAACAACTAGTAAAAGTGGTTTTTCTGATTTCCATTTTGGATGAGAAAGACTGAGGGACAGCGATTCAAAAGAATCATAACTAATAACTGGTTTGGCATTAATCAATAATCCTGACTGAAAAATAGAAGCTACTCCTCCACCTCGGCCAGTTTTTCTAGGAACATGAAAATTTAAATAATTAACAGGAGTGGATTCATTTATACTAACAAAATCCTCCTGTTGTAGCCAAGTTTCTGTCAGACAGAATAAATCAATATGATGATCAGTTATCAGTTCATTAACTAACAGGGATTTAGAGGAAAGAGATCTGATGTTCAATAATCCACATTTAATGATTTTATGATTTTCCTCTGGTAAAGTAACTGTTTTTATTTTAAGATTTTTATGGTTTATATTTTTAGAGCTGATTTTTGGTTTATTTAATTTGAGCCGTGGGCGAGTTGACACTGTTTCAATGTGGGTGTGGGTGGGTAACAGAGGAGAAGCAGCAGAGAGGTGTGGAGGACTACAACTCTGCTTCCTGGACTGGACCCTGGGTTGTCAATAAATTGGAGGATAAACAAAATCAGCCATATTTCTAGAAAGAAGAGCGGCTCCATCCAAAGTGGGATTGCAGTGATTAATATGAGACACAGGTGAGACAGGGGCTGAACACAAGGAGGGAAAACACAGAGCTGAACAGGAAACAAACAGAGACAGGACAAAAACCCTACAAGGAGACTCATTGTGTGTGATTGGAAGGACCCACACACCCCAGCCTATATACATTGGATAGGAGAGGTCATGTACCATATCCATCTGGAAATATCAGAGACACCCTGAAGGGTTCTGCAGGAAGATTCTGGGACACCTGGCAGCCTTGTCATTTGTTGAGAACAAGTCAATGCCTGTATAGATTATTTATGTATGTGTGACTGATCCAGTGTGGGAAGGGTGGGTGGGATTTTGTTCTGTGTTCTTTTGTTTTGTTTTGTTTGTGTGTGTTTATGTTCTTAAAAAGCAAAAACTTAATAAAAAGACTTTGTTTGAAAAATAAATCTCTTTCACAAACAGGACGTTATCTATCATCTATATTCTGTTTATAACTGTAGCTTAATTTAATACACACCACTGTGATCTGTACACTACGGTGGCCGACGGGTGCAAACATGCAGCAAACAGCGAAACACGCAGCAAACACATGTATGATGCAAACTCAAAAACACGCAAACACAAACAAAATGCAAAACCAAAAAACAAACACAAAAAAATCAAATGCAAACACAAACAAAAAACACGCAAACACAAAAAACATTCAAACAAAAAAAACGCAAACCCTAAAATATGAAATGAAAACACAAAAAAACACGCAAACACAAAACAAATGCAAACACTAACAACAAATGCAAACACAAAAAAAATTAACACAAAAGACAAATGCAAACACAAAAAAAATCTAATGCAAACTAAAAAAAAACAAGCATGCAAACACAAAAACACATGCAACCACAAATAACATGCAACAAACAGAAAAACGCTGCAAACAGTGAAAACACCAGCAAACTCGCTCCACAAAAACAGAAGTGCTCCAGACCAGTGGGGCAGTCGAACAAAGAACAAATCATAAAAGAAACTTGGAGGAAGAAAGACGTTTTCCAACTGCATATAAATCTCATAAGAAGAAGAGGAAGAAAGAAAAGGTTTGTTTATACTTTATTCATTCAAACACGCAGTCTTTTACAATAGACCCTTTTCACATGACGTCAGACAACTTACGTTCTGACTCGATGTGGATCAGTACTTCCGGGTCTATTCTCCCTCGGGAGACCTGTCTGGAAACTTCATGGAATTTCATTCATTCAACCTTTATTTATAGAGGTTAAATTACAAGATATAGCACAAGGTAAGGTTAATAACAGTATTTACGTGTTAGTTAGCTTTGGTAATGTTATTCATCATTGTCAATTTACCATTCTGTGACCGTGTAAGGAAACAGCCTCCGATTGTAAAGTAAGCTAGCTAGCAGCAACAATTCAATTAAGTTCAATTCAAAAATACTTTATTAATCCCAGAGGGCAATTATATGTTGTGGTAACTCATCATCCTGGTTTCATTAATGAGTTGTTCTAGATGCTGATGGCTGTGGGCAGGAAGGATCTCTTGTAGTGTCTGTCCTACAACGGATTTGAAGAAGCCTCTGACTGAAGACACTCTTTTGTTGTATGACAGTCTGATGAAGAGGATGCTGAGGGTTGTCTATAATGTTCTTCATTTTATGAAGAATCCTTCTTTGTACAATCATCTCCAAAGGTTCTGGAGGAGTCCCCAGAACTGAGCCAGCCTTCTTTATGAGCTTGTTGATCTTTTTTAAGTCACTTGATCTTGTGCTGCTCCCCCAGCAGATGATGGCAGAAGAGACAGCGCTCTCTACAACAGACTTATAGAAGATATGCAGCATCTTGCTGCAAACGTTGAAGAACTTCAGCTTCCTCAAGAAGTACAGTCTGCTCTGTCCCTTCTTGTAGACGGCTTCACTGTTGCATTTCCAGTCCAGTCTGTTGTCCAGGTGAACTCCAAGGTATTATACTTTTCCACCACCTCCACTTCTTCTCCAATGATGGAAATAGGGTTGGATCTGTTCCTGATTCTCCTGAAATCTACAATCATCTCCTTTGTTTTGTTCACATTCAAGTTGAGATGATTGTTTCCACACCATGCCACAAAGCGGTCCACCAGTTCCCTGTACTCAGCTTCTTGTCCATCTCTGATACACCCGACTACTGCAGAGTCATCAGAATATTTCTGCAGATGACAGGAGTCTGTTTTATACTGGAAATCTGAGTTGTACAGAGTGAAAA